GCCGATTAATACCAGTTAATAAATTAGTTTATATTTGTTGCCTTACCAAGTCTTTGCATCCTAACTAATCTATAGATCACATTAGCCCAGTTACGCCCTCTCCAATTGTGCTCTCTCCAAATTTTTATATCCAAAATCTCACCCGTTCATTGTTGAATACCTGTATACAGTTGTCCTACCAACTAAAAATAGTTTGCAACTTAGGTATCCATCTTCATTTTTAATGACGTCGGCTACAGCTACGCTACATAGAATGCATTAGATATTATAGTACTCGCGGTAGGGCCTCTTATAATTAAGATGGCTTAATGTATAACCGATTCTTTCGACATGACGCTCGATATTATATTCTGACCGAATCCTGGACTTTTGTTTTCACCCCTGACTTTTAAATACTTATGGGTCATCTTTATTCCCCTAGTCAATAGAGTATTATCAGGTTTCCTGGAAGTTTTCTTTACGTTAGATCTCCTTTGATGTCTTTTTCATGCGACCTAAACGGCTTTTTTATTTGCGGAAGATGTATGCTATACATTGCTTATCCTCCTCTAATGTCCCTTCTTCTGTTAGACTCTAAAGGAACTTGCCGATGGAAACGTACATGTGATTGCTGCTAGGAAGATTCATTTTTCAGCGATCGTGGGTTCTTTTGTTTTAGGCAAACTGTGGCTTAACATAAAGGTTCTCCGTTCCGTGACCCTCACATTTTTTTCTGCATTCAATCAAGAAGCACTGTATGTACTGTGCTCTTGATGTGCGAGTAGTCCCTTCCAGTTTGTGAGTTCCGTGGCAAGGAATATTTTGGGATCCAATAAACTCTCCTCAGCCGGTTGATCTTATCCTACACGCATATGTTCCTTCCATGAGCGGCCGTTTTTCTTAAATACTGAAAAATCACATTTATTGTTAAACATTTTCGGTGAATATTCAATGACTCGTTCGATTTTTATTCTTCTTCATTTGTTTCTGCCCCATTCTTAGCCTGACAGCGCCAATGAACGGACGTCCAATCATTCAGTCGTTAAGAAGATAAACAGAAGTTGTACACTGTGTATCGTTCCTTATAGGTTCTGTGAAGTTTCTAAAACTTGCATTGGCAGTACCCATCTGGGTACTTAATTAAACACCTATTACTTAGTCCTGCGTTAAAGGAGTTTTCACGCATATCATCTGGTTAAACAAATATCTATATTTGTTAGTTTTGACTATGATCCTTAGTCGAACATTCTTTTGGATTTGGCCAAAGACTTTCAGTGGTCCTTCGACGGTTACCGTCATCGTTACCGATTTGTGTATAGAGAACCAGGCTCCCGGCATACCCCAACACCAGAAGGAAGAGGAGCGTTCACCGGAAGAGATTTATCATAAATCTGACGTTTCGAGTAATTGTCTCGTCTACCCATCTTCAGAGAATAGACACTCTGGCTCATGGTCCTTGTCTTTATGCAGCTTTTTTTCCGTGCGCGTGTTCTACCAATCATGGCTGAGTCACTGTATGTACCTTGCGCCTCGCCGTCAGCTTTCTCGTTCACCCTGTCCGTCACCGCGCCTGAACTCTATATTTAAGACGTGAACGAATTAGGCTGCCTTATATTTTTCAAATAATTCCTTATCAATATCTACAGAGGTTTGCGTAATTGCAAAGAGAACACTGGTCGCCCTTTTGAAAGCCATGACATACTGAGAAGAGGGCTTCAGAGCTGACACAATTGTGATTTCTAGCTTCTTTTTCGCTATCCTTCGACAGACACCATTCATCAAGTAAGTAATAATGAAAGTCGCTCAATGAGCTTGCCTTCTTGGTTTTGGGCCGCAATGCAACAAATTTTCCAATTTTAAATGGTGTCATCCATTTATCGGACTATTCACATAGACTGCTAAGTCCTCTTTGTAAAATATGTTCATCATTACTGTATTTTATCGGTTGCCATATCTTTATGTCATCTGGAAACAGGAGTCACTTTCTGTACACTCTATACCTACAATCGTTGACGTATATTGGGAACATTAATGGCCCAAGGACGGACCACCGGCACGGAAGTGGATTTCACATTTCCAAGGTACATGGACTGCGATCATCCTATTATAAATTCTCCTGCTCAATTTGGCAAATTCCCCTTTATCCCGGAGTCGCAGACCTTGTAGAGTAGCCGTTCGTTTGGGACACCATCAAAGGCTTTTTGTAGTCGATGTAGATGACATCGACGTTGGTATACCCATCAAATGACCTAGACCACTGCTCCATTAAACAAAGTATATTGGTCAGACGGGAGTGGTTTCCACGGAATCCGTGTTGGGCAGTGTGAATGAAGTCGTTTTCTTCGAGAAACCTTGTCGCAGCCTTTTTGGTAATCCTTTCCATGACTTTGCATCAAACGCATAATGGGTTCAGAGGTCGATATATATTCGCTTTGGTTCTGGATCCACACTTGCAAATAAGGCATATGTCTTCTTGTTTTCAGTCAGATGGGAGGATGCCCCGATCAAAGGACAACTGGAAAATATATAAAGGTGGTCTAGAGAGGTCAGAAGCAAGCCCTTGCAGTACCTTTGCAGCTATTCAGTATGGACCCGAAGACTTAGCTTCGTAAAACACAAGAAGCCCTTTCTTCTGTCAATTGGAAGTCTTCCATGCTTGGGTCAATAGTCCTTGCATGAAAGTCTACCTGGTTGCAATATAATTCAGCAGTCAAGATTGATGCGAAAAGCCGACTACGGTTTTCTGCTTTATCTTGCTTACCTGCGAAAACTTGAGCTTATCTCATTCCGCTTTCGGTAAGACTCTTCGTTGTGCAAGGGTTGACCTGTTGTTGAGTACCTTCTCCAGAGTTTGTTCCTTCAGTCTATCTGTCTCTTCAAATTTCGCATTAACTAAGCACGCCTTTTGTAATTCTTCTCCTGAAAAATGCGATGCGCATTATCGTTTATAACTCACTGGTGAACGCTCCAATCAGCATCCAGACTACCGGCAAGAATAGCGTGCCAGTTTAGTATAAACAGTTCACTTCTCATCGCGGGGAGCTTTCTGTGCCAGTAATTTAATCGAGTCTCGGCATTCCCCAGTTGGCTGGTGTTTAAACCGTAGTCGCACAGCAACATGACATGGTCGCACTTGGAAAGCGGTGCGATTAACCAGAGTTCACCTGTATCAATTGGGCCTTTCGAGAGAATGAGCAATAGATAATTTGCCAATTTTGACTCTTTGATTCTCGTTGGAAATATAGAATTTTTTCGAAAAAGAGATAAATCGGTAACTTTAATAGTCCGGGGCTAAAGGAATCACGTGAACCGTTTACTGATAACTTAACCCAGTCCATCAGTTGTACGTGGAAATCTTCAGCTATCAGTGCGTCTTCGTTTATTGGGTATTATAATAATATGTTTATTATGCCAGTTTACAGGCAATTGTAAAGAGTTG